GAGCTGCTCTACACTTTGTCCTCCTTGAGACTTCAGGAATGTTTCGAAAGAGCGGTCCGTGTATCAAGGATAGTGATGGCTGATAGTGAAACTTATAATGTGCATGCACTAATGTTCCCATGGAGCTGTGAATTGCCGGCAGTTTTAAGGTGCAGAGCTCGTAGAGATCATCAGAGCGTGAAAGTGCACACTGGTCCCTCCGTATACGATCCCCTCCCCTTTCCTTCGACCGTTGTTCTTTGCGCAAAGTAGGGTTGACCCTGATCCCCATATGTGCCACAATGTCATGCAAGAAACATTTTGAAAAAGCTTGGCACACCCTGAGCGACCACCCCTGCTATTAGGTGAAGAAAGTTCTTTGCGCTTTTCGACCTTGATATCCAAATGCCTGTAACTCTGCTCATTCGAGAGCATTTGGATATCAAGGTCGAAAAGCGCAAGAACTTTCTTCACCTAATAGCAGGGGTGGTCGCTCAGGGTGTGCCAAGCTTTTTCAAAATGGTTTCTTGCATGACATTGTGGCACATGGGGGATCAGGGTCAAACCTACTTTGCGCAAAGAACAACGGTCGAAGGAAAGGGGAGGGGATCGTATACGGAGGACCAGTGTGCACTTTCACGCTCTGATGATCTCTACGAGCTCTGCACCGTAAGCAGCCTGGCCGGGCAATTCACATATCCATGGAACTTCGTATAGCATACACCCATTAATAGTTTTCGCTAATCAGGCAGGGTGAATATCGGTCGAGGAAATCCTCGACAGGGGGGTCGTACCTGTTGGGCTGGTCCATGGGGGGTCGTACTCTTGGGGGTCAGTAACAGAAGTGGTATCATGGTGCAGATAGGTAATAGGGTATAGCGCAGCAGAAAATGAAAACATCCGAAAAAAACATGATATTAAATTTTCTTTGCAGGTTCAGTCGCTCCATTCCTCCACCTTCATGAGAAGGGCGTATTTGAAGGCAGTACAAAGAATGAAAGTGCATCCCCGCAAAGAAGAGTGCCACATGTGCGCACGCGCTGCAAAGGCACCTCCTCCGCCTATCACTCGCTCCTTCTCCCTTAATACCTCGCTGAGAATGACGCTGTTGTTAGGGACCCTGTCGGAAAAACGACAACCGTGAAGAAAAAGCGCTGGGCAAATGAAGTTGTTTTTTAGGTTACAGGAATAGCACAACACACTATGTCTACTACAATACAGTTTCGTTCGAAGGTCCCCATCATATAACACCTTTCAATCGATTCTGCAACTGTGAGTGGAGGAGGGATGCATGGCTTATACCAATACCAAATCGGATGATGACGATTGCTCCTATTCTTATTGTTTGCGTTCAAAGATATTGTTCTAGACACATTCCGAGTGTTGCCAACGAGTCACACTTGCAATGGTGAATGAGGGAGCGGATTTCCAGG